TTTCCTGTCAAGTTGGCATTCACCTAATTCGGATACATCTGAACAATAAAACATAAAACTAATTTCCCATAACGACTCTGCAGATTTACAGCACCTCCTCAATTAACACTCACTATGAGATTACATGAACAATCTGATATCACAGTTACCACATTGAAGATAAACATAAAATTAGTACAACGTAACGATTATGATCACAAAAGTAGAAAGACAATCAAATAACCAAACACGACAACATATCTAATTACCTTATGCAGTCGTCTAATGATAAGCATCGTTTCTTCTTGATTCAATTCGACCTTTTCACCAGTTGTCGCAAACGGTGCATTGAACCTGAATTTCCCTTCTTCCTCTAGTGAATGATTTAGATTTAATGATTTAATATTCCAAATGATTTAATATCAAAATGATTTAGTGATTTAATATCAAATGATTAAATATCCAAAACAAATGATTCAATATCAAAAACATTTCTCATCACACAACAAAGTCTGCTACAGTTGCTGGCATAACACTTCAAACGGTAACGAAAGAAACAAATGTAAAATATAACACGCCACTAAAACTTCAATAAATAAAACAGTTCAAGCGAAAAGCAAACCGACCATTGCTCGAAAGTACCACATGAACTGAAAATGGACGGTAGCAAGAAGTTGAGCAGTGCCCAGAGTTCTGGTAATTTATTTTGAAGTGGCGTTCCGGTTAATAGAAGTCGATGTTGTGCCGTGAAATAACCGTTCAGCACGAGCGTTAACTTACAATTGTGATTCTTCATACGATGACCCTCATCAATTATCATATACTTCCAACGAATCTACAAATAAACCAAAACCTTTTTCTTCATATTTACAAAGATATCACTCAACGAAGACCGAATTATTCACAAATGAAAATGGAATCAAAAAGAAATGAATAAATTTAGTAAACAAGTATTTTTGTTACATATTTCCTTCCATAAACGAACACAAATGAAATTTAAATCTTATGTCTTCATTGCATGCAAATCGGAATCTTTCAATGTGATGGCTTCAATAATTAATTGAATATGGTTTCATTGTATAACTGAGAAAACAGAATCCAATATTGTGCTCTTTAAAAAAGTCGACAATTGAAAGAGAATATAATTAAAATTAAACAATCTAAAAAGCCAAAACCCTGTCTCATCACGTACCTTTCCCAGTAAACCCTTCTCTTTCAGCACATAATCATATGTGGTCAACAGCACATTGAATGCATTTCGTTTTATCACTGCCTCCAATCTTTTTCTCGCATCTTTATTGCCCTTATAAACGACTTTCACAATTGATGGTGCCCATTTCTCCAGTTCCAAACTCCAGTTTGAAATTGTTCTGAATTGAAACCGTCACAAATTACTTCTCAATTCTTACCAATTGATGGAAATGTAAAGAGACCAGCATTGCTTGCAATTCTTTCCAATCAATGAACAAACTTCAAATACAATTCAATCAACATTCCAATCAAACAACATTCACAACATTTCTCAATGTGTACTCATACCAAACGAATAAAATTCTTCACAAAACTACTCAAAACATAATCGTAAACGCACTAACAAGTATGGTAAAACTATCAACTTAACTTGACTTAACTTAATCACACCCTCAAAAATCGCAAACAAACTGATAAAACTAACGACAGAGGAACGATAATCAGATACGGTCCGTTCAGTTTCTTGATCTCCATCAAATACGTTATTAACGCAACTGTTTGAATCGTTTTACCCAATCCCATCTCATCGGCCAATATCCCGTTCAGATTATTATTGTACAACGATACCATCCACTCCAAACCTTTCAACTGAACAACAAAACATAAATCAACTCAATATCACATTTACGATCACTCATTCAGAATCGTATTACAAAATTAATCAAACCAATACTCAGTCAATATTTCAGTGATTTCAAAATAACCCCA